TGCAGGTGTTTCTCAAATAGCATAAAAAAATGTTTCAGTTAAATATACCAAATAAACATTTGCTGAAATTGGTAATTTTCCTACAATTTACCCCAAATAATTCCTATAATTTTTCACTCCTTTTACAGACCTCACACACAAACAAAAGATTATAATTACAACAGTGACTGAACCAGCTGTACGCTCCTCTGAAATATTTTGGCAAGGGAGACAGTGCTCTGTTTTCAATATGAAAAGCATTTTTGTAGCTTAAAGCAGATTTTTAAAATATTGAATATATCACTAAATACAGAAACATGGGACTATTTCTCAGGATATTTTTGTAGCAATAAGAGATTTTAAATTTTTTTTATGTTTGACACATTAAAGCAAAAAGTAGTAATAGCAAAGCTCTAGAACAGATTTTATTTAAAAGATTTACTAGTGTGTATTGCTTAAATGGGCTTTACATTATTTTAATGTTGCATTCTTGAAATTGAATTCCATTTTATAAATAATTCTTTTTATGGCATCTTCTCTCAAACATAATTCTGGACCAGGAAAAGGAAACTAGAAAACAGGAAAGGAATATTTCATATTTGTTTAGGTTTTCAGTTCTAATTTCTGGAACCAATATGGTCTCCCTTTATTTTTTTTATGAGCTCAGGGCTACAATCTCATCCTTCTGACCAAATTCAGACAGTACCAGTTAACAGTTAACCGTTACATTTTCAACTGGATTTTATAACCCCACCTTCTCCATCCTGAGAGTGAACTTGATGTGACTTGATGTGCATCCACCATGGGAAGATTTTCATGGCAATTCTTCTCTTAAAAGTGTAGTAGGAAATGGGTACAGGCTTTCATTAGAAAATCTCAGATAACACATTGGTCATACCATGACTGATGGATCACAGACATATTTTTCAGAAGTATTAATTAGACATAGAAGTAGGTTTTAATAAAAACAAAACAAAACAGAACTCCCCAAAATACCCCAAAACCAAACAAATAATCCCCCAAAACCTTTTGATTATGTTCATCATCATCTCATAATTTGCTTTCTAGGCAGACAACTGCAAATATATTTTTCAGGTGATAACTTTCATAAAAAGATAATTTGAAGTGACTTGTTGCTCCAGAAACACGCTTTTATTTGGTTAATATGGATAGCATGACCAATGATTTTATAAACTCACATAGTGCAAGCATGAAATTATAATTTTGTGAATTAGTTCACCAGTTATAAAAAAATTCCATGTTTGAAGACTGACTAGAAATCTGAGCGTGAGCATTAAAAAAACCTTCATGTTAAAGAATCACTGACCACTTTAGACTGTTTCATTCTCTTACTTAAATCTGCCCACAGCCATACCAGAAGTGTAATGTCAGCAAATATATATTTTTTTTGCAAGAGTAACTTATGGAGTTCCAAAAATCCATAAAGACTACAATGAAATGGAAGTTGAGAGATCCAATAGGGTCTCTGGCTCAATTACCAATAGTTAGATGTGTTAAGATGCTGCATCTCTAATGAGAAACAGGGAATAAGACTAAAGATTTAAAAAAGATTAATTAAAAAAGTGTACTCACAAACTTCTGTATAAATCTGGCAGATAAATAATAAATCAAAAGTGGCAATTACCCAGCAAACTCCTTGGGGTCCTTGGGATTCAGAGTCATTTTCTTTCAGTTCATCTCCCTGCCAATAGCCACAGTATCACAGAATCACAGAACAGTCTAAGCCCACCACATCACATGTGATTCACCTTCTTACCATTTCTAGTCCAAGCAAACTGTTAAGCTGCCTGGACAGGTAAAAGTCAGGTCTGGACAGTGTTTCACCTTGGATGTGACAGACAAGGATGTGTTATATTCCAGAGGTATCTCCTCTCCCTGTTGACTGCAGGAGCAGAGCAAGTGTGTATTATATAATTTTATATCTTTAAATTTTGAGCAGGAGACTCTCATTCCTAGTAAAGCAAAATCTCCTGACTGTCTTCACATGGACTACATTTTTTAGCAACTCCTCTATGCCAAATCATATAATTTGTGTTTTAGTTCCTCACTGCTCAGAACCTCTGCTTTTCTGTCTCTCTGTAAACATTTCCACATACATATAAATTGTGACACATACATTTCTTTTATGGCTGTCCTGGAAGACTACTTACATTTAAAAGAGTACAGTATTGCTTCTGGTTTGTAAGCCCAGAATTGATTGTGTCTCTAGATTGTGATCTTCCAATAAATGTACTGGCCTTTTGTGTGGAGCTGCACCTACTGAATTGCAATAACTTTGTTGCCACAAGAACACAGCTGATGTGGTGCTGTATTCTTTTTCTAACTGAGGTTGAGTTAGCAAAAAAAAAACCAACTCACTTTCTTTCAAAAAAGACTCCAAAACCTCAGGTTATGCCTCTTTGGAACAGGAGACCACTGGGAAGACGCAGTGCCATAAATTCTGTGCACTTAAAATAGCTGGCCTCAGTATGTACTGACATCAGGAGAGTGCTTTCTTCTTGTGCCATTGCTTCACATTTTGACCGTTTTTAACTGGATAGATGTAGTTTTTTCCTTAGAAGCCGGTACAGTGCTATGACAATGTGTTAGCTACAGTTACAGCATCCCTGAAGCAGGAACCCTACTGCTCCCCTGGGTATTTTCTGACACTACACCCAGTGAATCATTTTTTCTGTGTATGTGCACGCTGGCACAAAGCCCAGGGAGTTATAGATGTCTCAGACCAGATTCCCACAGCTTTCTTTCTCCACTCTGTATGACTTTTCAATCTACAAATTAAAAAAAAAAAAAAAAAAAAAAAAAAATCAAAACAAAACTCATTCCCACAAACTCTCTTGAGTTCCTAAAGCTTTTAGTTCTCCTTCACTTCCAGGGTCGGAGAGAATTACAGGCACCAGGAATTAAGTTTTCCTGCTGAGGAAGAAACCAAGATCTAATCCTGCATGAAATATTAGTTGTCTCCCATCAGATTCACCTACCAGTGAACACTTACCTAAAGAGATGACTGAAAATGGAAGCAAATAGTTAAATAACTCTTAGAGAAGAGCTATTTTTCTGGTGGCTTTCAAGAAGTATGTTAAACAGTACTTTGGAAATATATGCCCATCTCTTGAACTGTCGTGTCTTCTTTCCACTGCTCCTAGCCTGCTCTCCTCATTTTATGTCTTTTTTCTTTTTATTTCATTGGGTGTAGATACTTCCTTATTCGCCAACTGAATTATTTTAAAATATGAATGCCAAATTGTGTGGCTTTTTCTATGCAACAATGCTCAAGTGTTTTCTAGATGTTAAATATTATATATATAATATCAATTTCAGGTGACACTTAGCTTTAATTTAATTTCAGGGAAGCACTGATAAAGAGCTAAGCAGGCTATAATACCCAGTCTCACAAAATAGCCTAGTGCCCACTGTGTGACTAGACCAAGAATCCAAGAGCAGCAGGAAACGTGTCATTGTAACAGATGAGATAATATTATTCATGTGCAGAATATATGGACAGACATATTGAAATAAATACCTTGCCATTAACAAATATTCTCTTGGCAAGTGATCCTGGATATCGAATGTTTCATGTCTTTTCATGGTCTGTGCCCTTCCATTATCTAGAAGAGAGCACATGATGATTCTTAAATCAATTACCACTCTTAAAAAGATGGTCTGTTTCCAGAGTTGCCTGTCTGAGTCTTGGGAGAAGCCACATTTTTTGCTGATTTAGAAAACCTTGGAGCTTTAAGCGTTTTTTGTGTTTTTGTGCTCTGGAGTCTGGAGTTCACAGTTCTTACAGCTAAGACAGTTGAACTGTGGCAGCCATTCAGCTTGGGAAAACTGAGCATAATTAAGCATAATTAAGCACAGATCGCTATGGAAGTATACAAGAAGTCCACGGTGGAGTCAACTTTAAGCAGGAGGCTATCAAAGCAGATGAGGAACCCAGCCCAGGTTTCAAGCATGAGACAGCACTGAAGTGTGTATCCACCTGTGGAGCCTTGACCCGGCACTACCCACAGCAGATGCCACATGAGGAGACTCTTGGCAGAGAGCAGATGGCATGCACGAAAAAATGTAGATGCCAAGGCTATGTAGGAACTTTCTGTTCAAAGGGAGAACATTCAGAAGTAACCCCGATGTGCCAGCACACTGGTAAAATACAGAACGATCTTGGCAGCCTGAGGAGTCTTAAGCTGCATCAGGGGAGATTTAGGCTGGACATTAGGGAGAATTTCTTCACAAGGAAGGATGATTGGACTTTGGTGTGGACTGCCCAGGGAGGTAGTGAAGTCAGCATCCCCAGAGGTGTTTAAGAAAGCACGGGATGTAGGTCTTAGTACCATTTGATATTTAGTCGCAGGCTGGACTCAATGATCGCAGAGGTCTTTTCCAACCTAACTGGACCTGTGATTCCGTGAGGCAGCCAAGAAACTGGGCTCTGGCTACCGGGCCCCGAGGGCCCAAGGGCTACGGGGTGCTTCAGCCGGGGAAACCCTCGCCATCCCCTCCTGCCGCATCACAAAGCGATGGAAATCGGGCCAAGGTCCCGGACCCTTAGCCAGGGCGTGTGTGGGGCTGCGAGGGGCTTGCCCCGGCCCCAGCGGAGTCCGCGGGCCTGAGACCAGGGCGCGGATGCTGCCTGGTGCGGGCGGCCCTCCCCCGAGGCTGCCGGGCCGAACTCCCCACTTGGGCCGCGCTGCAGGGCGGAGAGGGGCGGCAGCCCCTGTTGGCGGCCTCGCCTCTCCTCCCTCCCCGCCGGCCCGGCCCGGTTCGTCCCGCCGCGTTAACCCCGGCGGCTCCGAGGCGGGCGGGAGCTGCTCCCTCCCCACAGCCCTCCTTCCTCCGCCGCAGAAACCAGACACCGGGCCGGCCCCGCGCAGCCCCTGTGCGAGCGGCGCTGTGTCCGGCGCGCCGGCAGCGGCCCGGCCATGCCGCGGCCCCGGTAGGCGCCCCGCTCGCCGCTGGCCGCCCGCACCATGCCATGTGTCCCGCGGAGCCGGGCGGCACGCATGCTCTCCCTCTGCCTCCTCGTCCTCCGCGCCCAAGCGCCCTGCCTGGGCACGGCCCCGCCGCCCGGCAGCTCCCCGTTCCCCGACGGCGGGCAAGGTCAGTGGCGGCGGCCGGGAAGGGACGGGACGGGACGGGAGCGGGTCTCGCCGGGGCAGCGCGGCTTCGGGGCGCTGCTCGGGCTGGGGGGCGGCCAGCCAGGCCGGGCCGGGCCGAGCCCCGGTGCTGCCCGGGTGCTCTCGCAGCGCTGCCCTCGGCGCTGCCGGGACGCACCCGGGGCACGGCGCTCCGGCTGCGCCTTCGGCGGCTCCTGGGCAGTCATCGAGTTTGGCTCTCTAGAGACGAAGGTGTTGCTAAACCCTGCCTTTTGCACATCTTCTCCGCTTAGAGGCAGGTCTCTAAACGCCAGAAGCGTTTTGTGCTACTAAACCGAAGAAGCTTACTGTTCCCTATTATTTATTTATTTATTTAGAATCATGCGATTTTGTACCAAAGCAGCAGGCGCTGCAGAAGGATTGGTGTTATCAGGATTCAACATCCGCTGTGAGTTTCTCACATTTCAGTGAGGATGGTAAATTATAAGTCGGACTTCATACGCGGGAGGGGTTTCTTTGAGGCTGCCCTCACAGTTGGGTTACATTCTCCCTCTTTTGCCGTGGGGAGTGCAAATCAGAAGTTTTACTTTTTATTTTAGTATTTGCCTTTTTAAGAAAAATCGTGACTCCCAAGGGAGAAAAATTATGAGTAGTTGGAAACCTCTGCCTGGTGGTAGAAGACACAAAAGTGTATGAGGATATTTTGCTTCCTCGTGCAATCAACAGCTGTGGTGCTTTCAGAAGAGCTTGAACACAAATGAGAAAATCTGTACCCCTCAGAGAGTGTGGAAAGGAAGAGTGTTTAAATAAGGTCCCTGAAAAGTGTTACAGTAAGGTGCCTGAAAAGTGAATATTCAAGTATCCTGAACTTGGTTCCCATTGGATTTATTGAAAGTGGATGCTAGCAATAATTACATCCTTGTGACTCTACATAGGACAGAACAGGGATGGTTGTGTTAGCATGTAGTGGCTGTTTAACTGTCAGGCATTAGGAGATGAATGTAGAATTAATGTAACTTTCTGGGCATGGAACATAGTCTTTTCCAAGAGTTTGCAAGTAGCATTGAGTTAAAAATGTGGCTAATGTTTTTCAAAGGAAGGTTTCTTGCGGTGTGAAGCGTGGACTGAAATTTGTATGTGGTACAGCTGAAGTGTTCTCTGCATCCATTATTGTGGCAGCTGGGATGGTTGGGGGTGCCCTTGCTGAGTGCTGAAGGCCTGCTCTCTGCCATGAGGCTTGAGCTTGCTGTGTTGCCTGGGTATGATGCTTCCTCGCAAGATCAGCCACACTATTTTCTATCCAAGGGTTTGAAAAGGAGCCAGAAGGTCTGAGAGGCAGATGTACACAAACATGGAGATGAAACAATGGCAAATGATGATGTGTCACATTTTGAAGGAATTTTGTCAGGGAACATGTTATATATTTAAAGTAAATTGTGGGTTTCCTGTCATGTGTGACAGATCATGTATGTTTTTCTCTTTATCCTGGTTTGTTCACTTTGTGTACAGTCATTCTTAATAAGGCAATTCTTTGCCATATGTGGTGAATTCGAATCCACAGAGGAGCAGAACACACAGGAGTCATTTTGAGTATTATCGCATGTTTTCAGTGATGCAGAGTTAGGAAGATCTGCAGGGAAGATTTCTCTGACAACTTAAACAATACTTGGGCTCCTCAAACAAGTGTGAAGGGCCTGGATGTTGCCTGTCCTGTGTGCCCAGAAGGTGTGAGCAGACACTGTGTTTGCAAGGTCCTGACTGGACTGTGTGCTGCTCATTGCCGTGCTTCTGTCTTGTTCGCAGCACCAATGCAAGCCAGCATGCCCAGGCTGTAGTTCTGGAAAGACAAAACATTCTCTGGGGCTACACAGCCACCTTTCCTGGCCTGTAAATCCTGAGCAGTGCCCACTCCCCTGGAGGGGAGAGTGTGCTGGGTGTCCAAGGGGAATGCTGTGACATGCCAGTGGCATTCATTCTCTCCATTTATGCTTGCTGCTGTGAAGTTTTGTGGGAACTTGTGGTGATTTAATAGGAATTCATGTTACTGTATGAAAATAGAGGCACTCAATGTTGAAGGATGCAGCCCCTAATTTTGAGCAGTCTGGGTTGCACGTATTTAGTTCTTCTTTCCTAGAAGGCTAGAATGGGATCACCATAATTGTATCTCCTGTCTTTGTTTTACACTCTCCTGCAGGCAGGAACTATGGTATCTTAAGCTTATTGTGGAGCTTAGTAAATATTTCTGTTGCAGTTAGGATTGCCTTTTATCCAACAGTCTAGGCAATACTGTACTGATAATGATTGCTTGCAGAAATATGGTTAGCCTCATCCTGTTAGACTTTTGAGTTGTAATCTTATTCCCTCTGGTATTTTGAAGGCTTTTAAATAATTCATTTCTGTACTTGTATTACAGTACATTATTATTGCAGCATAAAGACCTCTCCAGTGACTAAACAAGTATTTAATGAGTGGGCAGAAGAAGTTCAGTTTCTTTGCTTTGATAATCTAGTGCTTCAGCATTATTTTCCATCTTACTGATGCTGATGGTCTGCTTTCCTTTAACCTCAATACACTATGTGCTCTAGTGATGAAGTAAAAAACGTCCTTGTATAGTTTTAAAACCAAAACCACAAGTCTTTGGTTTTGCATGGAGTTCAGCAGTTAAGCCACAACAAATTAAGTTCAAGACACTAGGCAGAGGCAAATCGCACAGTGACAGCAAATGAGTAAGTTTTCCTTCAGGCTTTTAATTTGATTATTTAATGAGTTGTGCGGAAAAACAGAAATGAGGGCCTGGTCTTGCAGCATTCTGGGTTAGTCTGACTTTGCTAGCATAATATGGGATGTGGGACTTCCCAGAAGTCTCACAATTTAACATCTGCAGGTAAGCTGTATTTTTGGGTGTTTCTTATGTCTTCTACCTGCCTTTTTTTTTTGTTTGTTTGTGGGGTTTTTTTTGTTTGTTTTGTTTTCCTGCTTCACTCTGGAGTGTGAGAAGGAGGAACCTTGGTTTTGCTTCAGCTGCTGAATTTTCAGGCATCCAGGACCTTTTGTGCTGTCCACAGGCTGTGCAAACTGCAGGCATGAAGATGTGCACTGCATTTCCAGTGTCTCAGTTCCCTTATGTGGACAAGGGCAGATGTCTCTCAGAGCCTGTGCTGGGCATTAGTGTCCACGTTGTCATAACTCCTGGCTCTGTAAAACCCCACTGCTATGGCTTGTCCTACAAAGGCTCCAAGTGACTGCAGGCTGGTGGGAAGGCTTGTGTACAAAGAAATCTGTCGTGTAAGAGAATAAGCTTTCTTCTTAAGTAAAGGTACTGCTGGAACTAGCCCAGAGTTTGGATGTAGTTGTATATGTGCTGGGAGGCCGGGGGTTTTGTGTGTTTTGTTTTGCTTTCCTTTCAATTGGAAGTGTTTCAGTGCACGTGTCTCAGAGGTCCATGGCCTGAGGAAACTCAAGCAGCCACGTCTTAAACTGCAACTAATGAGGACAGCTGAGATGTGTTCCTTCCAGAATGGGAGGAATCCAGACAGCTGCCTGCTTAGGCAGGATTTTTCCTCTGTGACTTTGAAGGTTCAGGCAGTGGAGGGAGAAGTTTTGCTAAAAGGATTGCCTAACCAGAGCTATCCTGGAAGCAGCTGGAACAAGCTAATTGATTTTTAAAGCAGCTTAGTTAATGAATGAGGTGTAGTCACTTCATGTGTATGTGGCTGGGACTTAGGGAATGAAGAGCAACTACGGGTAAAGAAGAACTGGATTAAAGTGTGTCATTATAACTTCTTTTTAATTAAGTATGTTCAGACTGTCATTTCTTCGGTAGAATTCAAATATGCCAGCAGATCTGGCCCTTAGGGTATGAGTTCTTATGGATTGTGTTTTACAAGCATTTGTGTTATTTGCGTGGGGCTTTTGCATTTCACAGCAATTAAAAAAAAATTGGTACAGGTGGTGTTTCTTCTGTATCTTCTTCTTATGTATACATCTGTTGTTGTAGCAGGGGACACCAGTGTCAATAATGCTCTCTTCTGCTAGATTCTGACAAGTGGTAAGATTTTCAATCTTACCCTGCTTGGAACTCTTTATACAAAAGAGCGTGATTACTTCTTTCTCTTCAGACTCTTCTTTGAAATTCTGAAGCTGCAGCTGCAGCAGCTGCTAAAGTTGATGCCACTGAGATGTTGTTACTACAAATAATCAAGCCAATTTCTCTTCACCTTTGTATGTTTGCAAGGCTCTGTGGTGACCTTCAGGTGGTCAGTGTTTTGGATGTGTGAAAATCGCACTCCTTGATCAGAGTGTGATACTTAGGACATGGAGGCTTCCCAGCCCTTGTGGGATTGGGAAGAGGGGTGTGTGTGACAGTCAGTCTTTTATATGAATGGTGACAAAATGTTTGAAAAGAAGAATGTTTAGCTTCTAAACTGAATATTACAATGGGAGAATAGAAAGCCCAAATGAGAAAAGTGTTCCATGGTAGTCTGTGCACTGCCTGCCTTTGTGTCAATAGGATGTTGTGGTGAATTGCTCTCACTTTTGATTTTTCCTTTAGATTATGTGAGATCTAAACTGGCTGGCACTCACTCTGGTTTTGTTTCTTTTTTTTTTCCCTTTCTCTCAGAGCAATTTATGAAGACAGTGCCAGAACACCATGTGGTTCATCCAGCAAGAGTAGATGCAAGTGGGCATTTTCTTTCTTTTAATCTAAACCATCACATCTCAAGCCCAAGGAAGAAGAGAGATCTCGGAAAAAGTGAAAATGTGGTATATTACAAAATTACTCATGAGGAGAAGGATCTATTTTTTAACTTGACTGTCCACATGGGATTTCTTTCCCATAACTATGTAGTAGAAAGGAGACATGGTAACCACACCAGAGCGAAGATTTCTATGCAGTCTGGAGTTCCTTGCCACTTCCTTGGCACAGTGTGGCAGCCCGGCTCCAGCAGTGGGACTGCAGCCATCAGCACTTGCAGTGGCCTGGTAAGTGGTGTGACCTTTACTGGGGTTCTGGGCTGTTTCTGGTGTCATTAGAGCTGAGCTGGTTTCTGTTAAGAAACTGGATGAGCCAGTCTGATATCTTACTAACTTGGAAAGAAGGTTTAAGTCTATGGATGTTGTTTGGATTTTTTTAAGAATTAGAAAGTCAAAAGGTGATACTGAGGCCCATTGGCATTTATTTTTAGCTATGCTGTGGGGGTTTTTTTTTGTTTGTTTATTTTGTTTTTGTTTGTTTGTTTTTTGGTGGTTTTTTTTGTGATCTGGACTGAAGTTTTCTATCAGTCATGCAGCATGAAGTCATCCAAATATCGAGTCATTGTTTTGATTCCATTAGTAGTTGGATTGCCTTTCCAATACATCTGGACATGAGCTTCTGTTCTGTTCCTCTGAAAGGAATGTAGCTCAAGTACACTGAAACTGCTCTGTGAATTACACCCATGGATGGTAGGTTGGGAAAATGCAATCATTTTTTAATGAACTGCAGTGCAGCTTCAGATATAAATGATAGGTTAGATGCAACTTTAGCCAGAGCTTTGAATTCAAGTGTTAGCCACTGCTAGGTGGTTACATCTCTCATGTCAAAGAGCACTTCTAAGGCTGGAGCTTGAAGTTGAACATTTCTCAGTATCCTGTGGTTCACACTGAGACAAAGGACATGGAAACCCATTTTTTTTCCCATGCTTAGTGTTTTTTTAATCACAGCCATGGCTTGAGTTCGTGTTTGTGCTAGAGCATGAGGCTGAGGGTGCCTTTCTGGAGGGGAAGAAGAAACAAACTGCCTGAGTGCAAAGGGGCATGTAGGGAGGTGTGTGAACTGGCACATGTGATTTGTGAGAGGCAGAGCCCAAAGGGTTTGTGGAGTGTGCAGGCAGAGGTGATGATGAAAGCTGTGCAGCATGTGTGTGCTCTCATGCCTTGGTCCTGCAGTGGTGAATGACAGTGTTTGAGAGCCCGTGAAGCAGAGAACTTTCGGCCAAAACATCTCAAGTCTGCAGCAGGCTGGGGACTGAGGCTCTGTTTCTGATCCTGAACACCAGTGTGAGTAAAGTGTGAAGTGTAACCTTTCCCTGCTAACCTGTCAGTATCAAAGTGTGTTCCTTGCTGTTGAGCTGTATGAAGCTTTCAGAAACTATGGAAAGTCTTCTGGCAGTGTGTGAGAAACAGCATGAAGACAGCACTGGTATATATGAAATAGCAAACTGGAGTTTACAAAAGTGCCTATCACACATTTGGCATGTTTCCTGGGGAAACAATCCATTGCTTGAGGCCAGAAGTTTCAGTCCCACAGGTATGAAGATCAGGGATTTTATTTTCTAAGTTACATTTCCAGTGGGGACCAACTTATCAAAGTTCCCCTAAAACACGCTTTGGTCATACAGATTCAATAAGTAAATATGATGATACAAGTAGTTCCTTTGGTTGCTTAATTTTGTGCTTTATCAGAATCCCTTTGTTATTTTTTCATTAGGATGAGGGCTTGAAAATGAGGTGCTAGATCTTCATTATGTCTTCGGAATTATTTAGTCTGCAACAAGAACTAAAAAACACCTCAATTTGCATTTTAAATCTGGCTTGGTAATATCCTTTAAAGTCATCCTTTCATTTGTGTTACAAAATTCTTGATTTTTATTTTCACTTGAAGGTTTTGAAAAAACACTTGTATCAGAAAAATCACTGCTCTGATTTTATGTTCCTGTCCTGCTCAAAAATGAAATGTTGAAAATATATAATCATAAATTAATTCAGGTTGAATAAACGAGTTTTGCCTCTAGGTAAAAGCATGATTGTTTTGATGTGATGATTTCTGAAATCCAGAAGTTGCTGCTCTGAAGAGGTTGCAGTAAGAGTTGGGTCTGTATCTTCATTCCCCTGTGTGTCACAAGCTGAGGAAAGGTGATTTAACTCGCCTTTCCCCTAAAAGTTTTCCAAAAATTCTAGTGTCATATGAAAACATCTATTGATGAATAATTTTGTCAGCTATGAGAAATGAAACCTGATTTTCACAATAAAAACCTAACATTTCTGAAACTTTTTTTTTGTGGTTGTCTCCACATTTCTGAGCTCTAGTGTTGATTTATTTTTATCCTGGTGATCCCCAATTTCTTGTTTTTCCGGCATCAAGTCTATTTCTGTCTTTTTTTTCTTTCTGGGCTTAGTTGTGTTTTCCTATTGAAAATATTTTTTTCCATTTACTCTAGTAAAGCAGGGGAGGAGAAAAAAACAGAACTGAGAATAAGTAAACACCATGGAATTAGAGAAATTTAGATATTAAAGTAACGTCTGGCATGAGGAGAAATGTATAGCATATTTACTGTCATGAAACTGTGCTGATATGCTCAAGCCTTCTAAGCCAAGAGCTGGTGAAAAACACTGTCTTAGCTTTCAAATACTGGGAGCTGCAATGTTAGTGATGCTCCTTCTCAGATCCTGTTTTGTCTTGACACTTCAGGTTCATCATCAAACGAAAGCCTACTGTGTTTTTGTTGCTGAGGCATTTTTTAATAAGCTCAGTGAAGCACCAATTTACCATGGTAATGAATGACAGGAAACTCTGTGATCCCTAAACTTCAAGTTTTTGCTTTTTCAGTCATTGGAGCTGGTAAAAGAATGTAATACTGGAAAATACTGATTTGATTAAATAAATATGTTTTATGGAATATTCTTTTGGTTGTTATTTTTACTGTCAAATGGTTATATTATTATTTTGTAATTTTGCCCAAGTGAATTGCTTAAGAATATGTCCACCTCCATTTTACAAATGGTGGCCTGGATTGGAGCAAAACAAAATCCTAAAGATGCCTATGGGAGGGGAATCATAGTTCTAGTCCTCTTTCTTAAATGGCTTCTCATTTCAAGTCTGTTTGGTTTGTATTTGGCAGTTTCTTAATATCCAAGACAATGGTGGTTTATCAGAACCAAACAAAGATGTGTGCTATAGGTTTGTGTTTGTCATAAAAATCACTCACATACTGCACTGAAAACATAGAAAATCTAGAAATGTATTTTCATCTCCCTTCTATTTTCACTTTGAAATGTATTCTTACTTCCCTTGGCATTACACAGGCATTGCTGATGTATTTATGTTCCCAAAATGGCCTGCAAAAGAAATGAGTGTGATAGGTGTGAGATATAAGAATGGGTGGCACAGTCATTGTGTGACATTGCACTTTTTAAAAAAAAAGTAACTGTGTGTCTGTTTTCAGAAGTATACAAGGAAAAACAAATGATTCATAAAGGGATTTGGTCAGAGTTGGACAAGAGGATACAGAGAATAATTAGCAGAGATCTGGAGGAAATATGTAATTTCCAAATCCATTTTTTCTTACACCTTGTGAAATCTTAGTTTCCCTATTGTGCTAAATAGATCATGACCTTCTTAGCAGGTTCAAGAACATGATGCTGTAATCTGTCTCTTCCTCTCTGGGTCAGTTGTTCAGTAAAGTCTTTTGCACTTCTGAGCCTTTTTGAATAATGCATGAGTTAACATGGGAAGAGTGGGGCAGACCTCACTGTTTATTTTGGGTCACACTTGGATGAGGGAATCCCGGAGGGGAAGCCACTACTAGAACACAAGAAACACCAAACTGTGGCACTTGGAAGAGGAGCAGACATGAAATCACGTAGATACAGGAAAATTTCAAAGATGAAATAAAGGGAGAAAATGATTAATTTTTATATCTTTGAGTGAAAATGATGTTTGGGTTGGCAGTCTTGGCAGACTATTTAGAGCACTCTTCTAATAATGCTTTTAGTTTTCCCAGTGCCTTTCCACAGAAGGCTACAGTGAACTTTACCAATACCAATGCCTTAATTGTCAGTTGTGTGCTAGTCCTGAGAATCCCTTGTGTTGGAGCAGTGGTGTCAGCTTGTCCTCTCAGTAGTGCTGGGAGCAAGCAAAGCCCAGTGAAGTTGAATGAATACCCTAGGTTTATATGCACTGGGTCCTACAGAGCTGGGAAGTGAGTTTTCCTCTGATAGTCTATCCTCTTCATTAGGAACAAGGCCCTCTTTTATCCGTCGGTAACACGGACATTGTTTATAGTATTTTTAGATGACAGGGCATCATTAAGGCTTTGTTTCCTTGACACTTGTTTACAGAGCAGAGCTGTCAATCAGCAGTTGCCTGAGGGGTTGCATTTATCTTCAAAGGCAATGCAAACATTGGCATGGCAAAGGGAGGAAAGTGGAAGGACATTAGTATGGAAATCTGTGCATGTGTATCTGGTGAGATCCTGGCCACACAGGGCGCGTGGGCAGATCCTGCTTTGGCTGTCTCCAGACAGTCAGAGGGTTGCCTCTGACCTGTTGGGCATCACTATTTTTCAGAAGTGCTGGGTGTCCTTGAAAAGATTTTTTAAAAGTTTCCCCCACCTCCGTTCTTCCCTCTATGCTGAGCCACAGTCAGGGCAGCCCTTTGTGGACCTTTAATTGCTGGCTGTATGACTGTTTGTGTAGCAACTGGTAGGAGATGCTCCAAGTGGGACCTCTCTGGGCACATCTTTGTCTATCCTGACACCTGTGACAAGTGTGTCACTGAAGTGGCGTGATGACTGAATTCTGCTTCAATGTAACTGTTCTCTTTATTGGAGGATATCATGAAGCCCAGAATGAGCTCTGGTACTCATACAGTCCTATCTGTCTCCTCAGTGTGGCATAAAATCTACCAGCAGCATTTTATCTTTTGCAAACTTGCATCAGTTTGGGAGAATTCAGCATGATCTCTGTTCTCATGTTCTCTTCGTGCTAATAAGCTTTTCTAGTTAGTGTGAGATGCTTTTTTTCATGTTGACCCACATATTGCTGTCTTACGATCTGTCCCAAGTTCTGTGCAGGTATTGTAACAGCATTTTAGTGATAGTGGGCCCTATGACAGTGGTCTAATGCTGCTGTTTAGACTTTTCCTCTCCTATAGATACAGAAGACATATTTGACTTGGTGTTTTCCTTAGATGAGGTTTAAGAATAAAAGAATCTTTAAAACAG